AATAATATTAATAATAATAAAAAGAATATAATATACAATAATAATAATAAGGAAAGAAGAAGAAGAAGAAGAAGAAGAAGAAGAAGAAGAAGAAGGTGGTTCAGGGACAGAGTAAATAATAATAATAATAATAATAATAATAATAAGAAGAAGAAGAAGAAGAAGAAGAAATTCTGAGAGAGTAAATAATAATAGACAATTTCCAAGTTGGCACCGACGCAGACGACACCAATATTTACTCCTATCTCAATAGTAAATCGAATATCATTGGCAAAAATAACATGGCTGCTGATCTCGAAAAGGACCTCCAATCTGTGGTTGACTGCGGCAGGAAATGGATTGTAAACTCCTTTACACACCACAGAGAACCCTTCCTGCCTCTCATCAGAATGGCTGACTCCCAACTCCTTGAGAGCGCCTCGTTACCCTAATTGGTCTCACGCTGTACATTGACATGATGTGTAATAAATACATTGAATCAATGGCATCATCTACAGCAAGGAAATTTGGTTCTTTGTGTCGTGCCAGAAAGTTTTTCTCGTTTGAGTCCATCCTTTAAATCTATAAATCAACCATCCGTCCTTGCATGGAATATTGCTGTCATATATGGTCTGGTACTCCCGCTGTACGTCTCGAGGTCCATGTCAAAATCCAGAGACGAATATGCAAGATGATAGGTCCTGATCTGGCATCTAGTCTGCAATCGCTATCCCAGAGACGTGCCGTAGCCTCCCTCTGTCTCTTCTACAAATATTTTCACGGCAATTGTTCCGACGAGCTACTGTCGCTAGTTCCCGGACTGCATGAATTTAAACGTGCTCCCAGGCTGCCATCTCGGTCCCATCCTTTCACTGTCAAAACGGTTAAATATAGCCTCTGTAACCCCTTGCGTGCTAGTGGCACTAGGATTGAGAACAAGAGTAAAGAGGCGTGTTTGCGGAAAGGATACAGAGAAGGGCGGGAAGGAAGCTCAGGGTGTCAGATGTCGATTGACATTACACTTGAATATTTGAAGATTATAGTCATCGGGGATGCAAGTAAGGGGAAGGGTGTTCCACAGAAGTGCGGGAGAATAAGCTGTTTGAGAAGAAGGGACAGTTACATTTAACCGTTTTCACGGTGAAAGGGTGGGACTGAGACGCCAGCCTGGTAGCGCGTTTAAATTCATGCAGTCCGAGAACCAAAGACAGTAGCTCGTCGGAAAAGTTCAGATATAAATAAGATAACATATATAAAAAGGCAATATCGATGAACTCCAGCATCAATCTAGAGAATGCCAGACTTATTAAAAGAGAAGAAAACTTACTTCGACGGAAGGTTCTTGAGAGTGAAATTCTTGCCAAAATTTTAGCTTATGCCCTGCAGTATTTTCAAAAATCTCTTTTAGCAATTGACATACTCATTTCCTAAACCAATTATTTTTTTTAAATTAAAAGAAAAAGTTTAAGTCACGATCTTATATTTCTTAAAAATAAATAAATGCAAATAAAATAATAATAGCAAATCATGATTACATTGAAGATAAATAACTAAATACTATTCCAATAAATTAGACTAATTTTAAATGTGATTTAAGTTTAAGAGTCTAATGGTTTTTTTCTTCTTTCAGATTTAACAACTTAAGTCTTTGGCAATTTCAACCATGGAATGATTAACCACCAAACAACGTGTTACAGTTTCAAGAGTTCAATTGCAAAAATTCTTCGTAAATTCAAACAAACTGGGTCGATGACAGATGTGAAAACACCCCTGTGTGCTCTAATAAGTTCATATCCAATATATAAAGGTGTCCTAATAACTTGGATCGATTTTAAATGTGAATTAAGTTTAAGCGTCTAATGGTTTTTTTTTCTTTTTCTTTCAGATTGAATAACTTTGGCCATTTTAACCATGGAAGGCTTAACAATCGAATTATGTGTTAAAGTTATTGAAGCCTATTACGAAAATAGACGTTTAAACAGAAATGCAATGAGGTCGCATCATCTTTCGAAACAATTGGCCACCACGATCATACGACTTGGCGACTTTAGATGGTTGGTACATAAAAGTTTTCCTTTTGTCTTCATATATATATATATTAAAAAAAAATGATTCCTTCCATTGCGACACATAAATTACTATGTTTCGAAGTCCTAAAGTGTAATTTCAATATTAAACTTGAAATTTAGAGTACGGATTCATTCTCAAGCGATGTTTAGAATAACTAAATGAAGAAATGCTTTACTCATTTATCGGTTGGAAATAGAGGCGTAATCTGGGCTTTTTCTTTCGTTATCACGACGCCCCAAAAATTTGAAATAAAATAAAGATTCATACTTTCATCACAGTAACATGAATACACACACACACACACACACACACACACACACACACACATATATATATATATATATATATATATATATATATATATATATATATAGAGAGAGAGAGAGAGAGAGAGAGTTTCACGGCGAGGAATCAGAGATCGTTTTTTTTTGCTAATATGATTTCCACAAAA